TTAATTGATGACAGCTCTGTATTTACTTCCCAAGCGTAAATTAAACTAAGGAAGTATTGTAATAGGATCAATTTAACAATTGGCTAATTATATCTTTTCTCGACGTTTCATGCTCTAAAAATATACAAAACAAGTCTCCCGTTTCCGTCTGTCTGTCATCTGTCATTAGTCTGTTCATGAATTTAATAATAATAGGTAATATAAATCTAGAAAATTACTGAGCGAGAAAATTTAGATAATTATATTTTAAGAATATCCTTCGTCTCAAAATATTATTAAATACGGGCGATTTAAAATGTGCATACTTTCAACATAGAGATTTTTGGAAAAAAAAGCGGTACAATAAAATATTACACTTCAACTTAGAAACTATAAAACCGATTGTATTGAATTTTTACACATATCTCAATGACAATTCACCTAGTTTCACACTCCAAAAACTTGTTAACGATATCTCAATTTTTACTTCCCTATCATAAGCTAGAAAATTAATATAAGGTCGATCCGGCGAACGTTTGCTTTCATACCCCTAGAGTATGAAAAAATAGGTCTGCCATTTCCTTCTCTCTATCGTCTGTGTCAATTTTATTAGACAGATAAGCTCCGAAACTACTGGCCTGATTGTTGTTAATTTTTTTACGTATTTTAGGAATATCATGTACATAGTAAAACGCTTACCCAAAATTTGTTTCATCACTCCTACAAACAATTTGATCACGTCATCTCAAAATTTTGCCTACTAAATAATATTTAAATTTTACAAAATAACATGCAAAATCAAATTTATAATTTTTTAAATAAGCTGGACTGTTCTTCAGAGGCGAGGCAAGTTCTACTTAAATAACCATAAACTAATTAGTCAATATTAAATACTTTAAATTTATAGATTGACGGTCTATTACTTGTGGGTTAATAACATATCCATATTTTTTATGATAATTACGGGAGTTATCGTAAAAAAAATCTGTGTTGTCTAAATTTCAAAAAAGTCATTCTCCTATATTCTAGGACACACTTTAACGTTTATTTAGCAAAATCTTGACGGCAAGTCTGGAAGAGATAGACAGATGGGTTCTGTTTAGCAATTTACCATGTTCATAGTGATTTAAAAACACGTACAAAGTTTTATAATCTCTAAGTTAAACTTAGACATCGATTGACGCATACTATGTTGCATATTTTAGACAAGAGTTAAATTTTTACAATAATTGATCCAGTAGTTTCGGAGAACATTTGTTTAATAACATAGTCAACGATGACAGACGAGAGAAAAACGCAACCGAGGGACCCATTTTTGCGTATTGTAAAAACTCTAAAACTTCAATATTGGCTCTATTACGAATACTTCTCTACTTTATGCTGTGAAAGTAAAAGGGAAAGCCAAAATAGAGTGATGAATATAATAATTCAATAATAACTAAATTACTCACCCAAAGCTTAGCAAAGCTTGAAATACTGCATCTCGGTAGTTGACAGATTTATCCCTGTCTAACCTATGTTAGCAATTAACAAACTTTACATTCAGTCGGTAACAGGGCACATTCAGCTCAGAGATGCATACATTCAAGATTATTTTTAATTACACTGTATTATACAGGGTGATTTCGAAATATGCAATAATTTTGACCACGGCATTACGTAACGTAGTAGTGTGGAAATGTAGAAAAAAACACATTAAAAATCGAATGGGGCAAAACCATCCACTGACACAAACGATCGAATAAAAACGATGTAAACTCTTCCAGTTTCAATTAAAAGTAAAACCGTCAGTGCGAAAGATTTTTTTTGGTAATGCTTCATGGTGATCGATTTTGATTCTGATGGATGTTTGGTCCTTGCCACAATGATTTTACATTGTTTATTAAAACAAAAATAAGAGAATGCTACTACCTTTTTACAAGTAATGTGGAAAATGTTGTCCTTGACTAGCAATACAGGCTTCAGAGCGTCGCTAGATGTTTGTTGATAGATAAAAAACCACCACAGTTTTTTTCTGCTACTTTCACTTGTTGTTGAAGCTCTTCGATAATTTCTGGACACTGTTGATTTCCACAAACTAATTGTTCCATCCAACCGATACACATTTATCGAGAACAGTCTCTTGAAATCGTACTTGTTGTCGAGCATGTAGATTTTCATCGGATCAAATGTGAGTGTGTGAATTACACAACGTGGACAATCAGCGGGCTCCAAACCTTACACTTTTTGAACATATTTACTATGGATGTGCTCTTCTTCTTTTAATGTACGATGCACTACAAACTGTAAAACTCCAACTTCAGCTGTAAGTCGGCGAGTGCTGATGTCGGGCTCTTCTTCGTTGCGTTCCAAAATTTGTTCTTCAACTTGCACTATGATGTAAATGTTCGCGCACAGCATAAAACAGTACCACATCGACACACTCTGGATTGGAAAAATTCACCATCAACCTACTCCCGCTCGTTCGATGCCAGCAACGGATCATGATTGGCCATTTTCTTGTTTTTGCACGTTGCATATCAGTCCATTTTTTGGTTCTTAATCCGAGTCATGCTGTGCCATTGATTGAAAGAAGTAGGTCAAGAAACACTACCAGCGGCATGTGTAACAATTTATATTTAATTTCAAATATTTTTCTAGACACTACTGCCATTTAGGACCGTAAATTTTACACAGTGACATAATCGTATTGTGAACTATTCCCCTTTTTTTTCACCGTGTATCTTTCATAATAATAATTAATGTTATACATTCTTTACATTACTAAAATATTGCACATGTTTAAAATGCCTAATGGTAATACAATAGTTATAAACAATTTAAAACTCACTTTATCAAACAAAACACTACACACATTTTCGGACCGATGTAAAGCAAAATCTCAGTAGTTGCACTATAATGTATTTAAGTTCCGCCAGAAATGGCATCTAGACAAATTAAAAACTCGACTTCTGTCGAAAACTCTGTGTCGAAATCTTCGCGCGCAATGGAATGAGCTTTATTTCCATTTATAGCAAGTGCTTTTGGATTGACCTAATTTCATGCGACAGCAACAAGTGTAGTCTCATCAGAAAATAAAATCAATTGGGTAAGAAATAACTTACAGCTAAGCTTCCTATAATATAATTAATATATTAACAGGAAAAAGTATAAATCAATATGAAAGCGACATCAGCTTAGACTGCAAAGACGATGACGGTTATTATCCTTTAATCTCAAATCCTGTGTTTCGAATCCTGTAATAATATCGCTTTCATTATACCATTGAGAATTCAACACCTCCAAAATTTGGCTTACTCCAAAAGAAAATCAAAAATAATGTCATAAGAAAGTAACGTCACGTGCAAAAACGTTTCTTATCCACGTTATTTAAGACTTTTTTATTAATAATAAGTCCATTGTTTGGAGCTCAGGTTACCTTAGTGCTTTTATAGAAAAAAGCATTTTCATGTTACTCAAAATAGTCCGTATTTAACAAGCAATAATAACAAGTTCACGAATTTAGTTAAACATTAAAAACTTGCACAGTATTTTCTGATGTAATGGATTTAATTAGACAGATTAACCCATTAGTCCTGTAAATGTTCCAGTAAGAAGTACGTTGTGCTAAGCCATGAAACAGCATGTAATTTTAATAATCCTATGCATACAGTAATTTTATTGATCAATGAACTCATTAATAATTCAATGCTTTTGCAGTAATCTACGTGTTTTAATTCTAAATGACTGATATATTACTCACAGGCAGGTAACCATATTACAACAGAATTCTAGGTTAAAGGATATAGCGCTTAAAACAATATTAATTCATGGGTGAATTTCAGTGAATTCTTTGATGTGGTAGATAATGAAGCCCAAAGTCTTGAGTTGCCTTACCGATTACATCATTCATGTGATTTACAAATGTAAACTTCTCATAGGACGGAATTTTAAAATCTTTTTGTAACAGATCTTACTAGTTGTTTGCAAAATAAAGTAGTAGTCCTTTATTTCAATCAAATTTAATATTTTTTTTGTTAATATATTTTAATTTTGTATCAGCTGAAAATGAAACACCTACTTATTTTATATCATTCCAATCTTAATTTATTGATCTATCAAAATCCTTTAGAACAAATATAGGTTGCCATTTAAAAAAATATATAAGTTTAGGTCACGACACCGGTGCCATATACGTATCATACTTATTTGAAATGTACTAAAGTAAGCTTTCCTTAACTAACAAAGTAAAAATAGCAGATAATCTAAACTGGATGCTTGCAGAACTCCTCACATAAAAATCTATTAAACTGAAGAGACGATTTCTTACTCATACGGTGCTATCTAGACAGACAAAAATGAACTAGTGTATGGTCATTTTTCTCCAACAGATAAAAAAAGTTCTACGTACAGCGAAGGAGAATATAGATTTGTAATTTTCAGTTTTCGAGGCATCACCTTCCTCTTGGAAAATTACAGACTGATGATATTTGTAAATTACTCGATATTAAGCTCTCTCTCTCTCAAATAAATACCTCCATGGTTCAGCGAGCATCAAATAATAATAAAACTGTCAGTAGTGAATGTAAAGCTATTTTTAATATATATTTATAATGATATAGTTTTTTAAAGTACACGATTTCATACACAGGTATTGTTTATTATTTAACTGTTGAAAAAAACATAAATACAGAATTGTTAACAACAATTCTTTACTTTGAAATTTTAATATGTCGATAAGTAAAGTGTACCAACATGTTTACAATTTTGCTACGTTCCAAAGCCAAAGTTAAATTTAGTTCATTGTTACTGATAGCGAATTATGCTGTTTATACAGGCTTTTGTCATTATTAAACGAATGATGAAGGTGAATACAATAAATATATAGTATAATATAATTGCATCAACGCCTGCAAATTACATAAGTTCTCTCCACATCTCAAATATTCACAAAAGCTTTGGGTATTAAGTTAAAAAATTAACTAAATAATAAAATTACCAAGTTAATCTCTTAAAACCAACACAGGGTTTTGACTTTTCAGGTGGAATTATGTCATACGCCGCTCCCGAAAGTTCTGAAGCATCACAAGGACTCTATGACAGTTCTTACGATGGCAGCCGTGTCGACGGAGAACTGCAAGGAGGTCTTGGACGTCTTGTAGACGGTGAATTTGGTGCTGACAACTTCAGACTGGACATTGGTTACGGAAAAGGTAATCTGACCAACCGAAAATTTTTGGAAGAGATTATCTTTTTTTATAATCCGCAGGTAACGGATGGATTTCTTGGAAAAACGACAGTGTTCCTAACGGCTACGTGGAACTCACGTTCGAATTTGACCAAATACGTAATTTTACCGAAGTGCACCTCTTCACTAACAATTTTTTTAGTCGAAATGTTCAGGTTAGTGTTTACGATAATTTAGCTTCCATACCGTTAGTGTTTAAAAATCGGTTTAGAATAAATAATTAATTTATGTAAATATTCAATCACTAGTCAGTCGATGCTGGTTCAATTCCCATTTTACGGTTACAAAGTTTTATTTTTATCCATATCAATAGCGAAGTCTATTTCTCCAACAAATCACAAATAAAAACATGTATTTTACGTCAAAAGATAAAAAAAATTATAGGGATACAAGATCTAAAGTTAGATTTTTTTCTACCCACCAAAGTTTTAAAAAGTAATTCAAGCGAATGAATACTTTACGAGAGGATAAAAATAGCGGCAAAGGTAGTAAATTCATACTAACTTCATAATAAAGCAATATGCAAAAAATATCCTAATTTATTTTTAAACTAATTCGGTTTTCGTGGTGGATAACATTAATGTTAAAAATTCAAAATCAGTTAATACGCCGCAATAATCCATTAAAGTGCTGTCGATTTTCGACTACATCAAAAAGCTTTTTGTAGTTTTCATTTGTTAATATACCTGTTTCCGCACAGAATAAAATAAATATGCATTATTATCGATACATTATAATTGACATTTCAATTAAACAAGTAACTATGTGACTACAGTGACTGCAAAAGCGAGATGATAAAATATATTTAAACAAACATTTTCCACTTTAGCTAATTTAGAAAAAAAAAAAATATATATATATATATATATATAATATATAAAAAGTTGACTAGTGTTATTTAGACAGAACTTCCCTCGCCACCCCTGAACCACAATAAAACAAATCCAATGTGATTCTGTGAATTTTACTTTTTTTATGAAAACCTTTATAATTTAAAATAACACCAAGTGTGGATTATTAAACTACAATAATACAATTTTGTGATTGCGTTGTCAATTTTTTTAGTGGAGACAAATATATCTTGTATAAATATAGTTTAATTTTTTTTTTAGACATCCTGTGTAAACTCTTCTAACAAATATGTTTATAATGATAAACCACAAGTGTAGACACATAATATTGTTATGCATTTTAAATAGGCTTTATCTAGCAAAATTTTCGGGGTGAGGTCATCAAGTTTTTGGAGCGGATAAAGAGATGAATTTTTATTTGCGATAGCCTTCAAAAATTTGTTGTAGCACAATTTTTAACTTTTTATCCGCAAATCTAAATATCAACGGAATAACAATCCGCAAGTATAGAAGCACATCACAGTGTTTAAAAATAATTTTGCTAACAAAATGTTGATATGACGTCATCAACTTTTTGGTGGGAACAATGAAACAAATTTTAGTCAACGACGGTTTACCATCTACATTCTACACGATACTCGTAAATAAATCTAAAATTTCAGTCTTAGTGTAGTAGATTTCTAATGTTTGTAAAAAGCTACATGTCCACTAGAGAGTAACTCTCGCTAAAACTCTCGGTTACTTTCGAGAACTTGTTCATTCGAGAGAATTTTGGGCAACTTTCGTTTTTGCAAATAGGTATTGAAACCCTATTATCAGACAAAGCTCTCAGAACCGTGTCCACTGCAATTGCAAGAGAAAGCATTTAAGAGAAAACAAATATAAATATAATTAAGAGTATGATTTTTGCAAAAGAGAGAATGCAATACTTGTTTTGCATATAATACTTACTTTATTATTAAATAGGCATCAATTTAAAAGCGGTAATAACAAGCGTAATACTTCAAAAACCCCGACAAAAAAAATAACCCTTAAAATGTTTGAAAACACTACGTTGGAGGTTAATAAAATGAACTCTGTCAGTTGAGATCCCTCTAGTTTCAGCTAACTCATGCACCTGCATTCATCTGTCGCCCAAAACCCTAGAATAGACTTTGTCAATGATTTCCGGTATGACGACAGTTTTTGATAAGAACGTGATCTGATAAGGTTTTAACGGATATTCTTCGACGCTTGAATGAAGTCAAAGGCGAATAGCGTCATAAGAAGAACATGAATCAGCCAATGTTGGAAATGCTATCAAGATTAAGAAAAGAGTTTGGCAAAAATTTAAAGCTACTAAACTGAAATCTGACTACCGAGAACATCGTAAGTTTTCCAACAAATTGTCTTTTGAGTTGAAAAAAGCAAAAACTCAGTATGAAAATAGTTTAATTGAAAAAGGTGACAAGGCGATTTATAAATACGCACGACAGAAAATGTCGACTAAAGTATCAACGCCGCTAGTTAGAAGATCTGACGGATCTTTAAACGAAAGTAATTTGGAAACTGGAACATGCTATCTGGTTACTTTGAAAGTGTCTACGTTACTGAACCACCAGATATACTACCTACAATTAATACCCCTCGTCTCACGGAATGTCTCGAAAATGTGATCTTAACAGAGGAAAGTTTGCTAAATGAGTTAGCAGCTTTAAAAATTGACAGTGCACCGGGTCCTGACAACATTACTTGTAATGTTTTAAAGAGTTGTGCTCATGAGATTGTAAAACCGTTGCTTCTCATAATGAAAAGGTCATTAATCGATTCACGTTTACCATCGGATTGGCTCAAAGCGTCTGTTACAGCTATTTTTAAGAAAGGGGACAAAACATTAGCTTCAAACTACCGTCCCATAAGTCTCACATCTGCGTATTCCAAAATTCTGGAAAAAATGATCTGTAAGCAACTGAGATGTTGGGTACATGGCCACCATTTAATTCCAAATGCTCAGCACACCTTTGTTCCAGGTCTGTCAGTCACTTCATGTTTGTTAAAATGTTTAGATGAATGGAGTTCACAAATCGATAACAATAGTCCTGTTGACGTGATCCCATTATTGAAATGAAAGTTTTACGTCAGAGTGAGTGATTCGGTATCCTGTGAACGGGTGGTTGTGTCTGGTGTCCCGCAGGATTCTGTATTGGGACCACTGCTTTTCACCCTCTACATATCGGACTTACCTCATTTAAATTGGTCAAATCACCTTTTCTATGCTGACGACTGTAAACTGTATGCCAATTCTATTCTAAGTTATTAAGACCTGCAAACGGATTTAAATACTATTTACCGCTGGTGCGTAGACTAGTTGATTCCGTTGAATAACGGCAATGTGTAAAGAATTGCACTTGGGTACTAATAACCCCAAAAACATTTACATGATAGATAATGAGGCTGTTAAGATGATGGATAATCAAAATGATTTAGGTGTTATAATAACATCTGATCTATCTTGGTCCAATCAAGTGGCTTACGTTATACGAAAAGCGAATTCTGCATCCTGTATTTTATTCAATGCATTCAGACACCATTCACGGGATACATTTCTTAAATTATTCAAATCGCATATACTTAAAATTTTGGAATATACCAATGTGGTGTGGTCACGAATTTTACAGCGGGATAAGGAATTGCTGGAAAAAATTCAAACAAGGCTACAAAAAAGGTCTTGGGCTACAGAAGACAAAATTATCAAACCTGATTAAGACGTCTAAATCTTGCATAATTGGAACAACGACGAAAGAGGGGAGACTTGATATTGGTTTAGATGATTTTTCACAATCCAAATATGCTCCACCTCAAAACTCTTTTGGAGTTAAATACTAACCAATTGCGAGGGCATGTTTACAAATTAAAAAAGCAACCATTTAGGACTATTGTTCGCAGGTTTTTCTTTCCTAACAGGGTGTTTGATGAATGAGATAATTTGCATAGCAACATCGTAAATGTGACAACAACTGTTAATATGTTTAAGAACAAATTGGATCAGTAACACTACTTAGGGAAATCTATTTGAAGGTGCATAATAGATCTCTAACTTCTGCTGCATATTTTTCTAATATTAATAACATTAATAATAATAGGTTAATCCTGTACTAAAATAACAAATGAATGGTAATTATAATCACTTACATTTGCAAACTTTAATATTTAATATATAGAGTAAATATCATCGACTTTTGACATTACTACAGTTCACGAGAATTTGCAGTATCATTAAAATGTGAAACAAATCGCCTTTACTCCAGAAATAATAATTCATGATGAACTGTTTACTATCGAAGAAGACTATCGCTTTTCGAAACTTCATGCTTGTCCACTTCCTTCCTCCAATAGGCTAGTTGTTCTGAAAATATAGTAAATCGTATAAAATTCCGAATTGAATTACCACTAAGTTTTTTATACTAAATTGTTCTAAAAGATACCATCGTAGCAGGAATTTTTAATGTGGTGTTTTTCGTTCATAGACATTTTTCTCCAAAAGGTATTTTTTTTTTGTTCGAAATCGCAATATCCAGTTTTACTTCTACATACAATAATATTATGTGCAATAATTAAACCATCAGGTGAAACACCCAAAAATTCATCATCAATAAAAATTCCATTTCTAATAAAGTTACATGGCAGCAGTAAAGTCGGGTCCATTGTGTAAAAGTCAGTGACCATTGCATTCAACTGAAGCCGCATCGGCTATAATAAATAGCATTGAACTTGTCGCCCGCTGCCTGCCAAGGAATGAAATGACGTAGTCGAAAATTTACAGGAAAAACAATCGGGACGATTTTTCTTATTTATTTAACATTTGTGAGATATAAAGATGTTGGTAGTGATTCGATGGGATACACGCTATATACGTATATATATAAACCATACGGAGGTTTTCCGTAAAAAAGGAGTAAATAATGGCAGGTATAATCCAATGTCCAGTGGGGCTCTTCTTGTCCGGGAAATAGCTGTTTTCACCCACTGCACTGGTTTAGTCCAAGTAATTAGTGTGCAATATCTGCAACAAAGATGTAACCCATCGAGTCACTACCGACATCTTATATCTCACTAATCGGTTTCTGTTAAGCATACATCTAATAACGCTTGCAAGACAAAATACTGGAATATACTGCGCTGATGAGACCGCAGGAGGTCAAAAGCGCAGTGCCTAGCTTTTTTTTATTTTCATTGTGTTGTGTAGCTTTTTTAGTTGGTATTTCTTTAGTGGTCAAGTGCTTTTTTTTTAGTGTACTGAATTCGTACCGCTATAAACAACTTCA